AATGATCTACTTATAAATTTAGTGGGGTTTATTACCCACATCTAATTTATTTTTTACCTATGTGTATTAATATTGTTATGCACTTCCAAGAATTTCAAATGATGATTTTATTAAAAAAGATTGTATTTTTTCAATGAAAAAATGGTTATCTTATTTAAAAATATACACCTCTTTCTCTTGTTGCTATTGTATTGATCCTAGATGTAGAATGGATGTTTTATTGTGATTATTTGACATTTATTATGACGTTATTAAATCTTGAATGTAGAAGATAATTGTTAATACTAAATGTAGTAATGCATGAAGTTAAACCAAAATTAATTATGCAATTTATAACTGAATTTATTCAAGTTTCTAGGTATCTTTACTTCTACTTTCTACTTTCTTCTCAATCTAATATTACAACAATTTTCCAACACAATAGGGTAAGTTGGTGTTGGGTGGGTTGCTCAAACACAGTTTTACTACAAAGACAAAAAAGAACAAGGGAATCCAGTCTATTTCTGAATTTGATAATTATCTAACACTTCTTTTTGAGTTTGGTGATGATTATGCAGATACTGATTTCCAAATTTTAGATTGATGGAGTCGTCAACGCAAATAACTTTTTTCCAATTCTTTTCTTTACTGGCAAAACAAATTTAGAGCTCCGGTCTCCACTGTTGTGGTTGAACAAGCTTTTAGCAAGGAGGGAAATACAGAGTTGATGAAACACGATTCTCGTAATGGATACCCGATTTCATAGAAAGCACAAGCATGCGTGGATGATTGACCAAGCCGAACTTAAGAGCCCAAGAAAATCCCAAAAGAAAATGGAAATTTATTTGGATTATATGATGGGTCCTCACGGAACATCCAACTGGTGGTGCAAATAGCGAATAAGGTTAAAGGGGTGAAATTGGTATAAGGTAAGTAAGAACTACGTGGGCTTTGATTCCTCTAAACCCCAAGAGGATTACGTAGGGCAACTTAATTTTTGGTTTAAAATAATAAAAATAAAAAAGTTTCAAGCCCATTTTTTTTTAAAATTTATGTTTCAAACTTTTAAAAAAAAAATTCAGTTGAAATTTTTTTTAAAAAAAAATAATATGTTCAACACTCACAGTTCTAAGTCTTTAAAAAAACAAATTTTATTTAAAGTATTTTAATTTTTTTAGGGTGTATTTTTTAATTTTTTATGTTCAAATAATTTTTTCTAAACCGGTTCTTTCAAAATGGTAAAATTTTTTAGGTGTATTTTTTAATTTTTTTTATGTTCAAATAAATTTGTGTGTGTTAAACCCGGTCTTTTTTCAAAATTTAAAAATTTAAATTATGCGATTCGCCGCGAAAATGATCGGACCGTCGATTTTTGTAAAACCGGATCGAACCGGAACCAGAATCAAAACCGGGACGGTTTCAAACGGAACCGGAACCGGATCTTTTTCGGTTTCGTTCGGCGTTCCAATTTTTCTTGGAACTGGAAACCGCCGGTTCCAGAGACCGTGGCCAAGGCTAGGCAAACCCCATATGGATTGAGGTGGAGAGATTGATAATTGCAGGTTGTAATCTCAAAATATTAGCTTCCACCCTAGGTCTTGTAATTACTTTTTGAGGTTGTCTTTCATTCAGATTAGGTGTTGTGTAATCTCGCAAGGTACGACTGGATGTTTGAAGTTGGTAGCCCAATTAAGTTTTCATTTAAGTTTTCGTTTTCGTTGGGCCAGGTCTAGCTTGTCGTTCGGGTTTTGTTTCTCCGTGCTCTTCTTGCCAGCATTGTGCCTACGATAAGTCTTTCAATTTCTGGATCAAAGGACTAGAGGGTCACGTCCTTCCTCCATCTTCTTTGCATAAAACCCTGAAGTAATTCTTAAAGAGAATAATAAAATAAAGAATGTCTTAAACTTAACTAATAGGGTAATTTGTATTGATATTGATAACGCCAATCCCCAGCAACGGCGCCAAAAAACTTGGAACAGTGATTTTTGCAAGTATACGAACATCGGCAAACAAGTAATATAGAGTAAAGGAGGGTATCGATATCACAGGGATTGATATATCAAGTTACCAAAATTATGTTAACCTATTATGTAGTTTTAGACGACAATAAGAAGGAATTGTTGTAAGGAAATTAAATTTTGAAAATAAAAACAGAAAGTGATAAGCAATTAAATTTTAAGAGATAAAAATCAGGGTATTTTAAACTTACTAGGAATTTAATTTTAACTTAATTTCTATCCAACTTATTCTATTAGTTCATTAATCAATTTTAATGGTTCAAGTAAGAGAAACAAACCCCTGGAATTACTGGCAGAAGCTCTCCCGATGTATTTGTTAGCTATTCTAATTCGAGTCTAATTAACATATCTTCCAATAGTGAAATCAAACATAAATTTTAAAATCTTTGAAGTTTTATGGATTGTTTTGTTGAGTTCATAACCTAAGATCATTTAACTTATGAAAAACCCCCATTTGAGTCAAAACCATATGTAGCTTCTGCCGTCAAAGTTATGTATTTTCCAAGTAATTTATTTTATCTTTTTCATATCAAGAACCCTTCTCCCGATAGTGATTATTTGAAATATTCAATCCAGGGGGAAAAATTCTGCCTGGAAGCTTTAAGGCACAATAATAAATTATAAAATCAAGAACAAGAAAAAACAAAATCTAATTATTTAAGGCACAATTAATAA